GCCCGGCAGCCGCGGGCACGGAGGGCTCCGACAAAGCCGGGGGCGAGCGAGGCTCCTGTCCCGCGCTGGGGGCTGGCGGCGTGACTCACAGCCGCTCTTCGCGGCTCAGGAAGGAAGCGGCAGGACGGAGACCGGGATCCGGCCCTCGCTGCCCGGAGCAGTCAGGCGCTCGCCAGCCCCCGGGCCCCGGCCCCAGGCAACAAGCGAGGAGGTGGGAAATGGAAACCGGAGGCCTCTAAGCCCCCGTCCTCTTGCGGCCCCCCACGCCCACGCCGCGCGCCCCTGGGGCTGCGGCCGGCCCCCCAGCTAGGCTCGGCCCTGTTGCCCTCTGCACAAACCCAGCCGACTGGAGCCAAGGACAAGCTGCACCGACAAGCCCCTTCTTTCCTTGCCCCATCCCGGCCCCAGCTCCGGCCCCCTGGGGCCCCTCGGGCAGCTTCTGCTCCCGCCGCAGGGGGCGGCCTGGGGGACCCACGGCGGGACCTGGGGGTGGGGGGAGGCTGCCAGCCTGGGGCAGTTTTCATCCGTAGCACAAGGCCACAGGACTCGGTCCTCGCCAGGGGAAGAGCCGGGAAATGTCCCCCACAAGGAGCCCGATGACCTGGGCAAGCAGGGAGAGGGGAGGGGAGCAAGGGTGCACCCCAGCCCCACGATACCCCCAAGCCCACACCATCAGACTTACCCACAGAGAGAGCCCCGGGGACTCTGGAGGTCCTGCATTGGGGGGGGCAGCAATGGGGCTCACCTGGCTGCCTCAGGTGGTCCGCGGCCAGGTCCATGCCTCTGCGGTGCCCACCAGCATCGAAGGCTTGGAGCGTGCCCCCTCCCTCGTGCCTGAGCAGGGAGCAGCAGGTCCAGGCCCCTGCGCAGGGGTCAGTCCCCCCCAGCCCTGCCACCCCTGGGGCAGGGCAGGGCAGGCTTGCACCTGGGCTGGATCCTGCTCTCAGCCGGGAAGCTCCTTGCAGCTCCATGGGCAGGGCTGCAACCCCCGTCTGCTTCGAAGGAGCCCCTTGGCCTTGGGTTTCAAGCCCTGCCCCGGCTCCCCGGGGAGCAGCGAAGCAGGGGCCTGGCTGGACTCGGGCCACAAGGCAGCGCTGAGTGAGCACGGCAGGGGCGTTTCGCCCCTGCCCAGGAGAGGTTACTCCCTCGCTGCCTGCAAGGGGCTTGCTGGCCCTTTCCTGGAAGCACGCAGTGCAGACAGGCCGTGGCCAGCAGCTGGACTCATTTATCCTCCCCCTAAGTGGGGCCTCGTTAACCAGCCAGGATGCAGCTCCCCACTGCCCTGCAGCCCCCCCAGCTACTGGGTCCAGGCCTCTCCCTGCCAGAGCCAGACGCCTGCAGCCCCCACGCTGCGACGTCCCGAGCCCCCAGCATCCCTACAGCACGCACGGCAGCCCCCGGCCCGCAGCTTTGCACCTTGGGGGCATTGAGCAGAGGGATGTTCAGGTCATGAACAAGGCAGCACCCAGCTGAGAGGCAGCGGTGCCCAGTGGCTAGTGCGCTGGACTGGGATATTGGTTGTAGGCATGTTGGTGTAATAAAAGATACCCCCTCTACCCCAAGAGTTTTGTCTGGACGGGGACGCGGGACACTTACACACTCCAGTGGACCTGCTGGGTGACCGCGGGCAAGTCGCTGCCTGGCCCGGGCCTCAGTTTCCCCCTCAGTCCACGGTCCAGTCTGTGCTGCATGGCCCGTGGGCCAGGGCTCTCTCCCCAGGGGGGTGCCGCGAGCTGGGACCCCCCAGCACGGCCCTAGGGCAAGGATCGGCGCACTGACTGAGGCTGCGGATGGGAACCACGGACCAACTGCAGGCGGGAGCCTCTGGCCTGGCCACGAGGGAGCACGCCAACTGGGAACGTCCCGCCGCGGCGGGGCCATGCCCTCCCTCATTACGTCTCCATATCAAACAAGGAGGATTTCCTCTCGGTGACACAGGGGCCTCTTACCAGGTAAGGAAATTCTGCAGACAGCCTGGCTCAGCGGAAAGGCCGAGCGTCTCACCCTTCACACGAGACAGCAATATCCCTAATGTCTGTGAAATCTATGAAATCCACGCCTTCTACCGCAATAGGGGCAGGTCAACACCCTAAAAGCAGACACCCCCCAACAAGCACACCCGCACAGCTGGATCAGCCCGTGACACGGTCAATAACTTATGTCACACACTGCTGTAGCAACCTCCTGGCTTCGTTACCAGCTCCCTCCTGTGAGGTTTGCCTGACACTGGGGGGGGGTCTAACTGCCCGAGACCGTAGGTTGGTTTCTGTTTTTAACCAGTTTCTTAGCACTTTTAACGCATCGTGACGCAGCAAACCTGCACTTCATATAAACAACTCCCATTGCCAAGCTGCCGCTGTTGAGAGGCCTTGATCTGAGATCAACAAGCTGCTTCTGTCGAGGGCCCTTTATTCCAGGCTAACGCTGCGAGGGGCTGGGGGCCGGACGCGGGGCGAGCCAGACAGTGGGCTGCGCCTGGGGGATGTCTGTGCCTGTCCTCGCTGGGTCTGCTCCAGCAGAGCACTTGAGCCCGTGCGTAGTTTGGATCCGGCCGTCGGGGATGAGTTATGTGCTGGAGTCACGACTGCCCCGAGCTGTCCTGGACCATGGCTGGGACCGGCGCTGGAGGTGCCGGGGCAACCGGGTCCGGCACATATGGTGCTGGCATGGCTGGCAGGGGCCCAGAGAAAACTGCTTCCCCAATGTGCTGAGCACCAGGGCAGTGCCAGGAGCAGGCCTGGCTGGCCCCTTCCTGCAGAGCGGAGCCCCAGGACCCAGCTACCACCTCCCGTCCCCCTTTCCTGCGTGCCCCGGCCTCAGGATAGGCAGAGGGGAGCTCGGGGGCGAGAGGACCCTGCCCTCAGCTGCATCCTCGTCCATGAAGGCCGGAAACGATAGCCCTTTTGCGAGCAGCAGGCGTGTTGTGATAACTCACTGAGCCCGGCGCATCCGGCGAGGCAGGAAGGAGCCAGGCAGGAGGAAATATTAAATAGAGCAATATAAACACCCGCTGGGGGGTTGCACCACCAGCACGCCCCACCCCGCCAGCCAAAGGGCCGGCCCCGCTGCCCGGGGCCACAGAGCGCCGGCGGCATGGACAAGAGCAGCTACGCCATGGCCAAGCTGGGCCTGGACGCCAAGAGCTCGCTGGCGCCCAAGAGGGACTGCAGCTTCTACATGAAGTACTTCTTCCTCTTCGCCTCCCTCATCCAGTTCCTCATCATCCTGGGCCTCGTGCTCTTCATGATCTACGGCAACGCGCACAGCGGCACCGCCACTCACGTGCAGCACCTGGAGCACCGGGTCCAAGAGCAGTTCGCCCGGGCCACCGAGCTGAGCGCCACGAACCGCAACCTCACACTGCAGCTCAACGCCACCGCCAAGCAGCGCCAGGCCTGCCTGGGCAGCTTGGCGGGCTTGCGGGCCGAGCTCACCAAGTGCAATGCCAGCCTGCTGCCCTGCGCCACCACCAAGGTATGGCCTTGCCCTCTCCCCCCCCGGCCCACGCCTCTCTCTGCCCATCCCCAGCCCCTGCAGCTGGACCCAAGGCCCAGGGCTCCTCTGGGATCAGCTGCCGTGCGACCCCATTGCTGCCTGGTCCAGCCAGGGCTCTGTGCTGGACGGGGCAGTGGCCGGAGGCTAGAGAGCAGTGACCCCTGGCCCCTCCATGGACGGCCCTCCTCCCTGCATCTCCTGCCATGGCTCAAGCAGCCCTGGCCTGTCCGGGATGGGATGGGGAGGCAAAGGCCGGGCCCAGCTGGGCAGCGAGCAATGCATCTTCCGCTTGCAACACACCAGCGTGTGAATCATGCTTCCCCTGGCCCCCCTGGACCTGGCAAACAAAGCCTGCCTGTGCACCCCACCCCACTTCCCCACCCGGAGTGGTGCCTCCAGCTTACATCCCCCCCCTCCGACCGTCGGCTCCTTCCCGTCCGTCAGCCCCTGGCAGCCGGGAGCCCTGTGGAGGTACGTGGAGGCTGAGTCAAGCAGGCTGGGGATCCCCGTGGCTGCAGGAGGGTGCTCATAGCCAGGGTGCTCAGAGGGAAGGCCAGGGGTTGCTGGCACCACTGTCCAATGGCTCCACGCACAACGCATCCAACGGGGCTGGAGCTCCTCATGGCCCCAGTGCGCACGGCCCTGCCCTGGCCCTTCCCCACCCATCCAGCCCCTGCCCTGACCCGCTGCCTTCCCTCCCCTCCACAGCTCCAGCTCCAGGCCACCATAGGCACCGTTGATTACTTCCAGGGGCTGGCCGCCCGTTATCACCAGGCCCTGGAGATTGCCAACGTCACCTGCTACGGTGAGTGCCCAGAGAAGCAGGGCTGGTGGCTGGCCCCGCGCCCTGCTTCTCCCCCGTGACACGGGCAGCCGGTGACTTCCTGAAGACCCACCCGTGTGCTGGCGTCTGTCTGACGTCACGGACTCTGGCCTGTCCGGCCTGGCAGGAAGGGAGCAGGGCAGATCTGTGCCATTCGCTGCTGCCCAGAGAGGGGGCGGTCGGGGCTGGGGGTCCTCCCTGGAGCACCCTGGCCCCTCACAGCCTTTTGGCTGGGCTCCAAGGGGTCCGCGCTACCACGAGGGCAGCGCTAGGGGCAGGGCAGGGCAGGGCAGGGCATTGCCCTGGGATCTCCCTCCGCCCCAGAACCCCATGAGCCAGACCTACCATATCCCGACGGGCTTGGGAAGGGGCTGTGGGCTGGTTGGGGGCAGACGGAGGCAGGCCGGCAGGTCCCAGGGAGTGACGGCGCTGTCCCCGCAGCCGAGAAGCTGACCCTGCGGGACCTCCTGGCGCAGCAGGCACTGCAGCTGCACTCACAGCGCGAGAACTGCTCCCGGGACACGGTGCAGCTGCAAGACAAGGCCCGAGCGGCCCAGGAGACGAACAGCATCTGCCAGAAGGAGAAGCAGAGCCTGCGGCTGGAGCACAGCGAGATGCGAGGGCAGCTGGGGCAGGTGCACGGCAGGTGCGGCAGGCTGGAGCAGGAGGTGCGGGACGCCGTGAGCGGCGTGCAGCAGGTGCTGAAGGAAGCCACCGGCTATGGGATGCGCCCCACCCAGGCCTGCGACCAGGTGAGCATGCAGCTCCAACAAGTGCTGGGCACGGTGGAGCGGGATCTGCGGGCGATACGCAGTGAGAACCGGCAGCTGGGCAGCGACAAGGACCGCTGCGGCGAGAGCCTCAACCAGTGCACGAGGCTGCAGGACACCGAGCGGGAAAAGGCCAGACAGGAGCTGCAGCAGATCCAGGCCCAGTGCAAGAACGAGGAGCAGCGGAGGCTGGAGGAGCGGAAGCAGCTGCTGCAGGAGAAGGAGAGCCTCAACCAGCAGCTGCAGGAGAGCCGCAAGCAGCTGGCCCAGAGCAAGGACCTGCGGACCCAGCTGGACAACTGCCTGCGGTTCAAGGTGAGGGGGGTGAGAGACATGCACGGGGGGCCGTCTGGCACCGCCTGTGCCTCCTCCTAGCTCAACGGGGGGGCACAGGTGTGCCCATGCACCGGGCACTGGAGCAGCCCCGCCAGGTGCCCACCCGTCTCTGGGACACGCAAGGGGGGTCTCCATGTGCAGGGCACCACTGCCCCCTGACCCTTTTCCCCTGCAGCCCGCGACCCCGCCGCAGAGGAACCCCAACCCCTTTGGGAACGTCGGCTCGCTGGGCAACCCCGGGGTCTTTGGGAACCCAGCAACGTCCTTCCGCAGCGTGGGGGCGGTGCCGACCTTTGGGAACATGCCCAACCTTGGTGAGTGCCCAGGGGGCTGGGGTGATGCCACGGCCCCCCCACCTGCCTTAGCCCCACTCCGAGACACCCCAGCACCGCCTGCACCCGGCTCTGCCCATGCCCTGGGGCCAGCCCGCAGCCCCGCTACCCCAGCACTGGGTTCACCGGCCTTGTCCACACCCTGCTGCACAGACACCCCTCACCCCTAACCCTCACCCCCCCAGACACCCCCATGTACATCTCACATACCTGGGCCTCTCGGCTGTGGGTCCAAGGGGCTGGACCCTCGGTCTTCCCACCGTGACACCAATGCTCTGAGCCGGCCCAACACTGGGAAGGGAGGGCTCTTCTCCAGGTGCCCCAGCAGACTCCAGCCGACACCTGCGGCGCTTCTTGTCCCTTTAAACACAGCCTTGCTGGATGAAATAAGGCGGAAGATGATGGAGGAGGCCAAGCTGTCAAACCAGTTACCCAAGAACCCCCCAGCCGCGGGGCAGCCCAGGTAAGGGGCACAGCAGGGCACGCGGGGCCTCCTCAGCCGGGTGCTGGGGACCCTCTTGCAGGGGCAGCCATTGCAAACCAGCCTGCTCCGTTCCAGCAGGGATGGGGATCCGGCCCAGGGATGGGGCAGGGGGCGGGCGTGGGAACCTGGTGGGCAGCCGGTTCCCCGGAGGGCAGGGCGAGAGGGAGCTGGCGGGATGCCCCAGGAACCCAGCGGCACCGGGTGCTTCCCCCCACAGCGGCTAAGCGCGGCCAGGCAGGGCCAGGAGCTGGCAGGGCCGGAGGACACAGCGGAGCCAAGACGCGGCGGCCACCACCGGGGAGACGCGGCCGGCGCGTGGCCTGGGACCTCACGTGCACGGGGACGCCCGGCACATCCACCCGCTCCCACGGCCCTGGGAGCACACGGCCAGGCACCACCTGCCCCAGCCCCCTGCTCCACCTTGCTCCCCACAGGGGCTGGGCGTGCCGCCCAGGCACAGCCCCCACGCTGCCCCCTCCCACCCCC